GTCACAAATGCAATTTTGATAAAAAAAATTTAATCATTATTTATATAATATGTTAAATTTTCATTTAAAATTCATTCTTAAAAAGTAAAAAAGTCAAATTAAGATTACTAATTAAAAAAATAATAAATTAAAATCAATTTATAAATAAATATTTTAAACACCATAACTATTTATTTTTAAAAAATTATAAACTACTAAAAAATAGTTAAATTATGTGTCCATAACTTGGGTGACCACAACCAAAGGCAGGGGTGAGCATGGCAAGACATCAGCAAGATACTGTGTCACGTAAGTTTAATAATACCTGTTGGGGGACTGGCCCAACGTTAAGAACGAAGCCCAAAGGGACGAAACCCAAAAAATACAAGCACAATAGTCATGGAACGTCCACATGATTGAAGATAGATGTACCAATGGGGGCAATGACATGTGGTTTCATTCTCAAAAGACAGTCCTACAAACACCCTCAACCACCTCCATATACAGTAATTAACTTCACCATGCTCTTATCTCTGCAATTATTTTTTTTAAGAATTTCTCTCTATAAATTATAAAATATTATTAACTTGAATATCGAAATATCTTCTCAAGAAAATACCATCAGATTTTTTAGATGTTGAAGCAGAATGGTGATCTCAATAATAGAATTTTGTGAAACTGCCTAAACAATGCCGAAGGAATTTTGGCGAGTGATAAGTGATTATTATTATTGATACTGTGTCGATTTTAATTTTTTTTTGTGATGATAATGTACCAAAATGAATTTTATTTATCAATATCTTGTCAAGTAATCTCAAATTCGAAGTAAAATTCATAACAATAATCACTAAAATTTTAAATATTTAATAAAATTAAGCAATGTGAAATCAAAATTACAAAACTGGAAAAATAAAAAGCAAAGTGAAGCTCCTCACTCCAATAAAAATTAAAAATTTTAAAAATAAATACTCCAACTACCAATTTATTCTGTAATTGATCTATCATGGGACTACTTGCCAATAATTTAATATGACAGTTCGATAGTCAAGGCGATCCCAATAATGGGCATGGTATGATAATTTGAAGAAGTATTGTGTGGCTTTAAATATATTGTCTTTTAGGGCATTGATTTAATTTAATATAATTATTAAAAATAATT